TCAAAGGAGACGAACGAAGAGGTGCCTGCAAAACATTATACAAGAACCGGTGTGCCGAAACACCGAGACAACCGGCTTTGCCCAAAATTGCTAGCCCACTGCATGACTTCAAAAGACCATACAAACATGTGGTCTGAGATGGGTCCGCACTGAAAGGACTAGAATGTGTCGTCGACTGCATCGACCATTTCAGACCCGAGCCAATGCCCGCACCAAGGCCCTCAGATATTCACAAACTGAGGGGATCGTTTAAGGTATGGGTATGGGTTGGTCTCGCCGTGGAAATCCAGTCTGGGATCACCAGTAACCTAGGAAAAGCAGGGCTCCCTCTTTCGTTAATTGGGTAGCTTTATCAGGAACCTGACACGACTAAAAGGAAAAAAGGGCCCACCTAATATAACGGCCTTAATAATTAGAATAGGGTTTTGGGGGCATATTATACTGCAAATATAATGCATAAGCATAAGGAACCTCTACAACAGTGCGGGTAATTGAAAGCCTTTAGACCATAGAACCCTTCTATAGATCCCTTATACTAGAGCCCTTTAAGGAACTCTTTAAAGGTAATTATTAGGGCCCTAAAGTAACTAGGCCCACCGAAGATTGCGCCAAGCTTCAGAAGAAAGCTCCGAGTCTGAAAATCTGCCTAGCTCGCACGAGGCGCGTGCGTGTGAGGCATGTCCGGGCTAAGGCGTTTAAGTTTTAGGTTAGGGTTTAGGGTTTCAGGCATTAAAGCCTTAGGTTTATAGGCCTATATGATATGTGTGGGGAGGGGTTAGGGTTGAAGACCCTGGTTAAGACGTGGAAGGAAAAAATCATGAATTAGTTACGGTTCTAGGTGCAGGAACTTCAACAATCATAGCATGACGTATGACAACCCATCGAGCTTCAAGCAAGGTATTCGCACAGCTCTCTTTGTGCCTCTTTCCTGGTGCCGTCACCGGCGCTCTTGCAGTGACTATGCGAATCCAGATTAATTATATCCTTAACTTCAAGACTCAGGTCAAACTGCGCTAAAGCTAAGTCCCTGGTCACTTCGGGCAAGGGGGCTTTGAATGGTTATAGGCCTTCAGCGGCTTCGGCCATAGTTTACACAACTATCTGCCCCGATTCAGCTGCTGAGGTGTGTGAGCATCCCAACATATGGGTGTCGGGGTATCCTATTAATCGTCTTTACGAATGGACCATAAGGAACTAATATCACCAATTATTCCGACCTGCATATTATGACTAGTTGCACGGCATTGCTTGATTGCGGGGCGAGAACCTGTCACGAAAGGTTTCTCATTCCCGGGCCAGTATGAGCCAACACTCCTCCGAAGATAAAAGGAACAGTGTGGCGGCCTTAATACATGGAATATGGCTTTGAGGCAGACGTTACTTACTTTAAACTTACTTTACTCATAACAACGAACCCTAGAGTTCCTATAACTGCTAGTCATGTAGACAACTCAAATGTTACGAGAGTTGTCCATGCACCCTTTCCGATTCAGGGAGAGTTGCCGTCCATGGGCCCTTGGCCGGTGAACCAAAAAGCACAAAGGCGACAGTTACGTCCTCACCCGAAGCCCTAAGCCCTAAACAGAAACGCTGCAGGCCCAAAACCCTCAACCCCCTGCACTAGCCCCTCAAGCCCCAAACCCTAAACCCACACCCTCCACCCAAGCTGCTAAAGCCAAACCCACTGCCCTAACCCCGAAACCCCAAGACCCAAACACTCCACTCTAAGTCCCTGAACCCTCCACCCTCCCTAAACCCGTAAACCCCCGAAACCCTTAAACCCCTATATACACCCCTAAACCCCTAACCCCTAAACGCTGAACCCTAACCCCTAAACCCCGAACCCTAAGCACTGGACCCAATCCGACGATCGCACCTTGAGCGCCTCGGGTCGCCGGCCGTCGCCGGCCGCCGCGACGGCAGCTGGAGAAGAGGACTCGCTGACCTTGGAGTTTGAAAGGGTGCAATATGGGAGTTTCCGAAATTTGGGGGTACCTTATTGGTGACAACGCCTGGTGTGCGTCCTGTACGTCCTCTCACTTTTCTTGGGTGGGGGGGGGGGGGGTGGGGGGCTGATTCCGGCCAGTCCCGACCCTTAACTCCCAGAACTGTAGCTCTAGTTCTGATCGAAGCCATGTTTCCTTAGGGTCATATGCCGAACACACCAGTAATTACGGCGTGTTCGGCACTTGCTACAACCAACGTCGCACAAACCATCCATGGGTGGTCCATGTTATTGACGCGGAGCATCCATGGGTCAACCATGTTAACGTCCACTCAGACCAGATCTCATTGATGCAGAGCCTCCATGGGTCAACCATAGTAACGTCCACTCAGACCAAGTTTGCTCAGCGCGGTGCTCGCAAAAGTGGCTTTTACTGCAGCGCCATCACCTTTTTCGCTAAAACGATCGACCTGTCACAGGGATTCTCCGCCTTTCCTGGCACAACTTTTTAGTCATAATACACGTTTTCCCTAGGTTTTAGCACATTGCCTGTTTCAGCTACGCCACAAAACGCCGGTCACATACCAGGCGCTGTTACCACCTTATTCTGGGGGTCCTCATAATAGGGATCCTACTATTTAGGGTACCATATTAGGGTCCCCTGTTTTCGGAAACTCCTAGAGAGGGTCGGGGTCGATAAGGGATCTACAGTAGGGATCAATAATATGGGGGGGGTCCTGGATAATTCGAATGGGGTTTGGGGGGCTTCGGGTATGGGTTTGGCGTGTCGGGCTTAAGAATAGGATTTAGGGTTCAGGGTTTAGAGTTTCAGGATTTTGGGCTGATCCGCACAAAACCGCAGCAAGCCCGAACAGCTTGTCCCACGTAAGTAGCCCAGAAAGCATCAACATCCCGAGCCAGAGCTAATCGTGAATAGCTGAACAGTCAAGCGCCTCGAATGCATGATGACGAAGACATTGTAGGATGTTGCCAGGCTTCCCGGACAACCCTAAACCCTAAACCCTCAACCCTTATAAACCCTGAACCTGCCAAGTCGCATAAACCTTCACTGCGCTTCCTGCGATCAGGGGTGCAAAGCTCTGAAGGCAAGACGATAGCGGACGGTCTAGGCCTGTTTAGGGTTCTCAGGTTGGCATACGGGTTACTGTAACGGTATCTACTATTTGCTTAAGAACCCCCAAAAAATAAAAACATATATTCCTTATGGGGGTAATATAGGGAGTATTATTTTTATTTTTTGGGTGCTTCTTAAGCAAATAGTAGGTATTGAGTATACAGGTATACAGGTACCATAATGCTGCTATAGGGCTCGGGGGTCTCGGAAGCTGAAATGAACCCAGGAGAGGTCCCACCAACGAGACCGTTGAGGCTCAGATCAAGATCTTTAGTCGCAGAATCCAGATCAAAAGGCTGATCTTCTAGCACTGCAAGTGTACCAGTGTCCTTCATCTGTCCACGAGTATTTCTCGATGGAGACCTTGCCAACGCATGTCGAAACTTCTGGATATGGCATGGTGTCACTCACATCTCTCATCATCACTACCACATGGAACCCCCACATCCAACATGAGTATGGTCGTCGAACCGATCATCTTCATGTGGATTTGTTCAAAGGTTTACTTTCCATGCCATGTATCCGCGCAACACTATGGCAATCATCTTCAACACCAACACCATGAGGGTCATTAATTGCTGTCACTTTGTCCTTACCACCACCACCACCACCACCACCATCAACAACCAACCAACAGTGACGATAACTAGCTCATCATTCATCATCAACAATACCAGTGCCGCCGTCATCACCGGCATCATCGTCATCGTCCCCATCAACGTGCTCATCAAGATCGTCATCGGCATATTCATCGTCATCGTCGTCGTCGGAACCATCGTCGTCATCACCAACCAGTGCATGCTGGTCATCACCATCGTAACAAACTAATTCCACTCAAGACAGTTTCATGCCTGACAGTTAGCCTAGAAGTATAGCATGAAACACATGTGGGAGTTTCCAAAAACTAGGGGTACCTTATTTTGGGGTCCTTATGATGAGGATCCTACTATTTAGGGTACTATATTAGGATCCCCTATTTTCGGAAACTCCCATTTGAGTCATTGAACAATGGAAACGACAAGATGCAGCGGACACCTCCTGCACGTCACCGGCCTGAGACAGCCGAGGCGGAAGACTCACCGAAAAAGTCATCGCACAACTGCTGAAGTTGCCAAAAAGTCCTAAGTACCTAAATGGGGGGATACTTAGTAGAGGTAACTCCCATTATAGAAACCCTACACTCTACTATACAATATGGGAACTTAGGGCCCTGGGGTTTTGCAACCACGGCACGGTATCGGCGCGCTTGGGAGATCTGCACAGCGCGCTGCCTCTCAAAGACGCAGCAGACTCTGAGGAAAGACGTGAGCCGAATCTTACCTAGAGGCTCGTACCCAATCCCTTTTTCAGTACCCTATAGTTTTATAGTTAGGATCTGTTATATGAATACTAGATACCCCAAAACCTGGGTAGGGTATGAGCCTACAGCGACAACAGAAGCCCACGCAGTGACGCAGTGCTGATACGAGACAGACCGCCGAAGAGTCTTGCATCCCAAGCTGCATTAACACGTCGGTGGATACTAACGGAAACAACAGGTAAGAGTATGTAGTACCATAGCAGTAACAGTAACAAGTAATGATTCATCATATTACAAGTCTGAGCTTGACTGGGCTCGTCTCTTCTCAGCCGTGAGAATCGCGGCAGTCTTCGATCGGATTCTTTCGAGCGAGAAAGATACATGGAGTTCGGCTCCCAAACCGGGAAGAACGGAGTGACGGCCACACAAGACTCGTTTAGGTTTTAGGATTTAGGCGGTACCATGAACAGCCCGGATGGCATCTAGCTTCGCCGCACAACCTATGTAAACTGAAAGCACACCAAAATCTGGTGCCCTTCACCCCTATAAACTCTACTGTTACCCCGTCAACCGTTTCTCTGAACCACAAAACTTGAAACTCCTGTCCTCTGCCTAAGCCCTCAAACCCCAAACTCTGAATCTCGTCCGCCTTGGCTCTCTGGACCCAGGGCAAGCGCCCATGGATCCTTAAGCTGGCGGCTCGTACAAGGCTGATCTAAATCCTCTGAGGTTCCGTTAAGGGCTCGTTTTCGGATTCTTGTAAGGGTTCCTGCAAGGGCTCTCTTGGGAATTCCTGCCAAGGGTTTGTCGGAGGCTGCTTTCAACGATCTTGTACGGGGGTTGCGCTTCTGGCTTCAAAATGCCGTTCTCATCGTCGCACACCGTCATCGTCAATATCACCAGCGTCTTCAACCCTAAACCATGGACCCCAAACCCTAAACCCGAAACCCTAAACCCTAACCCCCCAAAATCCCCAAACCTTAAGCTCTAAACCCCAAACCTGAATCACTAGCCACAATGATACTTGCAAGCAATATTTTCTGCACAGCGCGCAGAGCTGATGCCCTAGCTGTACATGAGTCACCCTAAACCCTACTTTAACCCTGAAGAACCTACCTTTTCAGGGTGCCCTATTATGATTTCCTTATGTATATAAGTCCTTAAACAGGTAGGTTCTTCAGGTTTAAGGAGTACCTTATTTTGGGGGCCTTATAGTAAGGATCCTAATATTTGGGGTACCATATAAGGGTTCTCTATTTTCGGAAACTCCCAGGTGGATGAATTTTACTACAGTAAGTTGGAATATGATTATCCTGAACTCTTTATGGTAAACTATAGGGGATCCTACCCTTAATCCATATTCCAACTTTCTGGAGTTCCCTTCAAACCCCAAACCCCTCCAACCCAGGCCACGAAGGCCGCATGCGGCCGGGCCTCTCCAAGGTTGCAGAGCACGTCCTCGCCAAAAAGAAGGTCAGCGTAACTCACCATAATATAATGATAGCAAGAGTTACAATAACAATTTTTGGCAGTATGGTGAAGCTATATTGTCATAATATAGCTTCACCATACTGCCAAAAATTGTTATGGTAACTCTTGCTATCATTACTATATCATTACTATCCTTGTTATTTGCAGTTTTCATCAAAGGCTTGGTTAAAGGGCTCTGCGGACTTCTGATACAAGGGTTCTTTAAAGGGTTCTGAAAGGGCCTTAGAGGCTGGTTAGTTTCATCCTGGGGGCCTTGACAAGTAGAGCCGGCTTTTGGGCGGGTGTATTGTGCAATATTCATTTACGGACTATATATATATATATATATATATGTATACATACATATAAATGGGTCGCAAACGTGTACTGTTACTCAATATATTCGAAAGCACAGGCTACAGTAGACGCCCTATACCCTGGCACTGCCCCCCTAAATCCTAAACCCCAAGGAAAATTTGACCTTTTCCCAATTTGCAATGAAAAGAGTCACCCACGAGCTGCTCAGACAAAAATATCTTCTCAAGTTTCTTCAGACTCAGCAGCCCGCAAGCCAAGATGGGACAATCTGAAAAAAGGGGCCTGAATAGTTAGAAGAGGGCTTGAGGTCCTATTACTATAACCATATAGGATCTGGAACCCTTCAGGAATGTATCACTAATTAAACCCTAAACCCTCATTATACTAGCCGCTACAATACAAGTTCAAGGCTGCGAAGACAGGGCCGAAGCCCAAGGGCTGCACCCGGAATGCACAGCTTCCCGAAACCTCCGACTAAAATGCAGAACCACAGTTCTTAGTCTTTTGGGGTTTAGGGCTTAGGGCTTTAGGGCTTTGGGGTTTTCGTAATTTTTTGTTTAGGGTTTAGGGTTAAAGGTTTAAGGGTTTGTATCAGCCAGGTGCAGGTCTGTCTGCACAAATGAGCTTCGCTGCTCGCTCTTCCTGGGCTCTTCCTTCTTCGTGGCATTCATACTTAACCTCCCTACTGGGAAACCCCCACACATATACTTAATACTCGCGCGAAAGACTTGATATTGACATTTGGGATCGTGGCTGTGAATCTTCCCACAGCTTACCGCTATTGTAGACGCTTCCGTTGGAAGGCCGCGCACCCTGTCGTCCCAGATTGGCTGCTGAAGCCGGCAGTTCCCGGGGGCAGTGCCTGCAGTCGTACGTTCCTGCGGCCCTGCTGGCTGCGGTTGTTGCAGTGTCTTGAAAGAACCCCATGCCCATACTATGTATATGTTCCAGTACACACTTGCTCATTCAACCATGTCAACCATACGGTCTCGGAAACTAAGATAAACCCTGAGCCTGAACTTTCGGAGGGAAAGAAAATCAACTCGCGTGTTCTACTGCACACTCGCTCCTGCAAGCATAAGGTTCAGGATGCTGGGAGGTTCCCTAGACCTAAACTCTGCGAGAGAGAGCGAGAGAGCGAGCGAGAGAGAGAGAGAGAGAGCTTCGATGCAGGTTACGGTTAAGTACTTGGCTGCAGGTCCCAACCCTCTACCCTGGTGCCATTCCCTAGTGCCACTCTTCCGGATAGCCCAAATGCTCAGGGTTTAGGGTTTGGGGGTTTAGGGGTTGAGGGTTTAGGGTTCAGGGCCCGGAAAACATATTTGACATTAGGGAGGGTTTAACAATCGGGGGGAAGGGATTATCGCTTTTCGTGCTGCGCCCATTTTACAGCAGACCTGCCTTCACAGCCACAACAACGAGAATCACAACAGAAGTCATAACAATAACGGCGGAAACTGTCTAAGTGATGCCCATATGACCCGTGCTCCTCAACGAGACTGCCGTCAACGCAGGCGCGGCGGATTCGGCCAGCAGTGCGCTCAACCCAGTACCTCGTGGTTCAGGGTCTCGGATGGGCTCGGGCTCCTGTGCTTACCCAAAACGTAATAAGTAGGCACATGGTGGAATGTAGTGTTTCTACAGTAGGAATCCCACTATTGTTTGGGTAAGTATCCCCCATACAGGTACTTAGGACCCTTTGAAAGGTTGTACAGGATCTAGGTTGGCGGATGCTCCGTGAACACCACCTCTCGTGGCACTTCGAGGTTCACCTTCCTGCCCAACAAAGCTCGTGACCATGGTTTTAGGGTTTAGGGTTTAGGGATTTAGGACTTAGGGTTTATAGGGCTTTGGGTTTAGGGTTTAAGGTTTCTTTCTTTGGGTTTAAGGGTTTAGGGCTTGGGGTCTAGGGTTGATGGGGCTTAGGGTGCTACGCGCAAGGACCGAAAGGACTGTGGTCAACCTACAGATAAAGATACGTCAAGTCCTGATGCGTCACAGTTGCAAACCGGCCACGCGAAGCTGCACAACTCTGGCAGCCCACTCTAAACCCAAAACCCTAAATCCTAAACTCATCACTATAGAAAGTCCTCCGGAAGACTGCCAGGCTTCACTTGCAGCCACACTGCAGACGACCAGCCCTGGGAGCCAGAGCCACGGCACCTGACTTGCGCTGGTCCCTGGTGCACCTAGACCCACACCTACACTTGCACGGCAACCCCTGCATTCAGAATTGCTGAACCCGAAACCCTAAACCCCAAACCCAAGACTTCTCCTAATGCAAAACCCAAATCCGAACCCACAAACAAAACCCTAATCACTCAGCCCCGCACCCTAAACTTCGCCGGGTTGCTAGGGCCCTCCAAGCCGGTAATGAGAGGCTGCATGTCTCTGCCATCCTCTCGAATCTGAGGATTTAGCCCTCATGAGCTTCTTAAAATGAGGTTTCAGTGACGCTTTGATAAGGGTATCGTACCTTAGAAGGGTTTCTAACGGCTCCAGTATAGAAGGCTTGTTTATGCCTTCTGTAAGCTTTTGGCTCGGAATTTAAAGTTCGGGTTTGGGGTGCGTACATTAGGGTCTGGGTTTTAGTTGTTTTTTATGAATCTAGACTCAGGGTCTAGAGCCGCAGGTATCTTGGTTAGGATTTGGGGTCTTTGCGGCTAGGGTTTTGGGATTTAGGGTCTAGGGTGAGGTCGTTTGGGTGCCGAAGCTCAACTTCAACTTCAGGCTATGGTAGTAAAAAGGATTAGAGCCAATCTCATCAACTCCCTACGAAGAACAACTGGATCCCCGGGCCTCCCTAGTTCTTGACAGGTAGAACTAACGATTTTGAACACTTCCGGAATTGTGGACGGTTGGTTTCTGCCACACACTTCTACCTGGCTGTATGGTGCTTTACGGGGTTTAGGGCTTTATGGGTTTTAGAACATCGCAGGCGCCAGCGACCCAGACCGAACAGCGTGGAAAGACAGGCTCTGGGCTGCCACCGACGTTTTCGGGGACTGTCGCCATTCCGCAGACTCATCAAAGCCGCCATCCCAAGTACCCTAAACCCTAAACCCCAACCCTAGGCTAAACCCTAAACCAACCCTACACCCTGAACCATCCAACCCTGTACCCAAAGCTGTAAACCCTAATGTCCACAGCAATCGAACGCAATGAGAACACAAGCACTCAAGATAAAGAAGCTGCGGGCCTACACACCCCCAAAGTCCAAATCACCCTGAACCCTACACCCCTCAAGCCCCTAAACCCTACATCCCAAACCCTACAACAGCCCTGAAGCCTGAACAAACTTAAACCCTAAACCTTAAACCCTAAACCCACGGAGTCCAGATCACACCGGTAGATGGCGTGCGTGCCGAAGTTTGTCCAGAAAAGCTTGGAGCGGACCGAATCCACAACCATGCCTGAGCTCTTTCTTGTTAAGGAACTTAGAAATTTAAGTTGCCATGATAAAGGAACCATGGTATACTAAGAAAACCTTAGGAAACCATGATATAAAGGACACCATAATATGAGGGAAACCCTATTGTTTGCCATAGATCCCTATTGTGGCAACTTAAACTAAATCCCTTAACACAAGCCCAGATGCTCGTGGAGTTCTTGCCGTAGGGAACCTCAGAGAGCGGGAGATGAATATGACCAGCACCCCCGGAATAAAAACTCTTTACTAGAGGCTTGTTGGACCTTAATAGTGAGTACTTAAGCTCTAGTAAAGGGTAGTTTGGGGGGTGCTGGAAGAATGGATGGTTTAGGTTTGCAGGGTTGAGGGTTGAGAGGCTTGTGGGTTACGGATTTAGGTTGCTCAAGGCTTCAGCGCCCGGAATCGGTATGTAGCCGGTGCCGCAGGGGCTGAGACACACCTATTCATCAAAAGCTGCTTACAATAGCTACTCCATTTTTATACTGGGTTTAAGCCCCAAGCCCTAAGCCGTATCTGAGCCACTGGAACAGACAAGGAGCCACCACTTCGGATTGCGTCCCATCCGAGCAGGCTCGATGCACCCTTGGCCAGGGTAAGGTCCTAATGATTTTACAATGATAGCTATATGCTGCTGCATCTTGTTACAGTATCCCTATGAGCCCTACTATACGCATTATATGAGGACGAACCATGTACACATATGCATGTATGTCATGCATATCCTTCAACCCTTACGTGCCTATCTGGATTCTGAGCTTCTCTGGGTTCCAACACCGCCAACCTTGCAAACCCCAAGCCGCAGAGACTTCAATCACCATGTTACAAATCGCATAAAGCCAAGACTCAGCTTCAAAAACACCCTTTTGTCTTCGGACGTCCGGATTTCCCGGACCGCCACAGTACCATCGCCGCTACCACAACCACGACTACTACTCCTCCTCCTCCGCCTCCTCCTCCTCCTGTTCCCACCATCCGCCACATGTTTTGCTTGTCATTCAGCTTGTTTCTGCGGTGCTTGCGAAGTTCTTACCTATAGTCTCCATTGTAGTTCCTGTTTTTGGTTAACCAAAATCTCTATTATAGGGTCCTAAACATAGAACTGGTTAACCAAAAAAGGGAACTACAATGGAGACTATAGGTATACCTCGGGAGCCATTCGCTGAATAAGCTGAGAAGCTTTCGGGTCCCGAAGTCCCCCCAGTAAACCTGCGCTGGTGCTTTGAGTTGCGGGGTTGAAGCTGAGGCTTTATGGCTCCGGGCTAACAGCTTAGCCCCGATTAGCCTCAAACCTCTACACCCTAAACCCCTAAACCCTAAACTCTAAACCCTAAACCCCATAAACCCTAAACTCCACCGTAGACCCGGCACCCCAAAGGGCCTAAAACGGCCAAGGATTTCAGGCCAGGGGAAGGAGACCGAGGATAAAGTGCAGGGCATCGACGGCTTGAGATCCAAGTGTGAGGCTTCCGTCTTCGTAAGTATGGTACTTAGAGGATCATGGGACTTAGTAACTAGGGTTATAATTAAGGACTATACTGAAAATTCCTTATAATTACTTACAACCCCCATTAAGGTACGTATAACCATACTTACTAAGTCCCATGATCCTCCATGTAGGGTTTTTGGGGTGCTTACTATAAGTATGCAAAGGAACCAAAAAGGTGTATGAGTACTTTCGGTGGGGGGGGTGTATTTCTACGATAAGTACGGAGAAAGGAAACTCAAGGAATCGTTCTGGATTGTATTGTATACCAGCTTTTCTAGCCCTTGCAGTTGGGTTTTACGGGTTAGGATTAAGATTCAAGGGTTTGCAATCTGTTAGTGCGCAGAGTTTACGGACTAAGGCCTAAGGCAACGGTGTTGGGTCACTTAGCACCATAAACCCCACTCGAACAGCAGGCGTGAGAAAGAAAAACATTCGAATCACATTAGATGCTCAGACAACGGGGAAACAAATGGCCTAGGGCTGAGGGTACCAAGTGCGGTACGCAATCCACCTCAATAGAATGAACTACACTAGCAGTGGAGATGATGCCAGTCACGATTGCTCTGGACCTGTACAAGCTTCACATGTGAAGAAACTCATTTCCAAGCAAAAGCCGAAAACAGTTACATCACTAGTGCTGGCGCCACTATATCTGTTCTTGTGATTGACACGGCACCAGCGACTAATTCGATCCGGCGACGACGACTTGTGCATAGTCTGTTCGGTCAGAATGCAACACTACAAAACCTACCGGCTCCAAATCCTACTCCCCAATAGCAAACCCCAAACCCCACTTCCCTGATAGAACTCGTAACTATGAGCGCTTTAAACGAACCGTTGATTCTTAACGGCTACCCTAAACCCTAAACCCTAAACCCTAAACCCTTTACTACCCAAGAAGGTTAGAGGCTTCCGCGAACCTTCCGGCTGAAGGCGTCCACGGCCACGGCATTCGGCTTGCTCAAGTCCGAGACTAGGACCTGTTTAAAGTGCTGGGGTTGGGGGGGGTAATATAGAAGCCTTGGTAATTCGAATAGGGTTTTGGGGCCCACTATACTACTGTAATTATAACAAGGAATCCCAAAATAGTATAGGTAACTATGAAGGCCCCTATACTAGGGTTTAGGTTGCGCTTTCGGGCTTCAGGGGCTGGATGGTTTAGGGTTTAGGGTTTAGGGTTTAGGGTTTAGGGTTTAGCTTGCGATTGCTTTGCTTTCATGGCTCCGAACAACTAAGATGCAAACGTTTGGGTGCACTGAGTTCTGGGATCTTTAACCCTAAGTTACTAGGATGCCCAGTAACCTAGGAACAAAAAGGGCTCCCTTTGTGGTATTGGGTACCTTAATAAGGAACCTCGGACTACCAAAAGGGAATAAGGGTACTACTGGGCATCCTAAGTTATGTTTAAGCTTGAAGGTTCTGGAATACAAGACCGTGCCTACACGTCCGCCAGTTGCATGCCGGCCTCACCGACCCAGAACCTGCAACCCTGAACTACCTGTAGAAGCCCATTACAGGTGGGTAGTTCCTCTTCCATAGTACTCCCATAAGACCCCTTTACCTTATAGGAGTGGTATGGAAGCCTGATGGGAGACTACCCACCTTAAAACTACCCACCTGTAAATGGCTTAGAAACTACCTGAGCCCATTGACTCCTAAGCCTAAACCCTGGCCCTAAACCTCCCGACGGCCTGAGGAGTCTTTGAACTACCGTCGCGCTTGGCACATAGGATCTGTCCTGTGCTTCGAAACCTTATGGTTCATTTGGGGTTTAGGGCTTCTGGGGTTGAGGGCATATGAGGTTTAGGTTTAAAAGGGATAAAGGCTTAAGGTCGGTAACTGGGGCAAGGTTTAGACGCTTGCAGCATCATATCTTGCATTCGGGTGTTGGGAGTATGCGGGTATTTAGTCGGGTTTGCAGTAGGATTTAAGGTTAGTTTCACGAGATTTCAATGCTGTCATTTCCAAAGATGATGATATTATCAAGCAGGGCAAAGTTGCATTCGATCTTTCACTAGATCTTGCGCAGATGTAGTGCGTTTCCAAGTAAAGATTCTTGCCATCAAACGGTATATTAACATTACAGCCACAAGTTCAAATGACACCTGGAGCTTGGTGTAAGTTCGGGTCCTTTTATTTTCAGGGTCCAGAACATGTGCACCTCAACAGCGAAGCTTACCGCCTTAGAGCCTGAAGCAAGAAGCATTGGTGACGGATGGAAGCCTTGCGGAAACTAAATCACCCTAAACCCTGTTTATAACACTACACCCCTAAACCCTAAACACTAAACATCAAAAAAACAACAAATCCCAAACGAACACGAACATGTGGACTACTTGGCTATTTGAAATAGTGAAACATACTAACCTATACGAGAACATACTGCATGCGATGCTACTAGAACTGATTATCAAACCAAAAACCCACTTCACCGGATTCGGAGAAGAGCCTAAAGCCTCAACCTCAACCCTTTAACCCTAAACCCTGAACCCTTACTTCAACCCTCAACCGTAAACCCTAAACCCTTTCACCCTAAACCCTTGAACCCTCAACCGTAAACCCTAAACCCATAAACCCTAAACCCTTGAACCCTAAACCCTTGAACCCTAAACCCTTGAACCCTCAACCGTAAACCCTAAACCCTTAAGCCCTAAACCCTGAAACCCTCAAACGAAAATCGTAAGTAAAAGTAACTCGAAAGCCGGCCGAAGGTCGCAAGGAGAGATCTGCCCAGAGGAGGCGCTCCTTTCCCAGGTTAAATCATGGATCTAGGACAACCCTAAACCCTAAACCCACACATCTTTCTCACATTTTTGTTCAAGCTTTGTCTTTTCTTCCAGCTCTTTTTACATTCATCTGCTCCGAAGATATAAGTTCCAGGCCCAGTCGTTGGTTCAGGGTTGAGGGGTTTAGGTTGAGGGTTTAGAGCTTAGGGTTTGGGGTGTAGTTTTAGGGTTTAGGGTTCCGGTACTCTAGTTTTAGGGTTTTGGGGTTTAGGCTCTGGGGTTTAGTTGGGTAGTTCAATGTGGGTACTTGAAACAATAAGGAATAGAATTTCAATAGTTCGATGCTATCCCAACCGTGTCAAAGTTGTTTGTCAAGGCCTTAACGCTGTGCGTAAGGGCTTGAAAACGCGACATTTAACGTGCACCTACGTTTTCGTGTGGGTGGAACAATAATCTGCTATTCTAAGCCCTGTGTAGAGGTTAATGTTGACCTTACAGCTTTAAGGGTGGCCAGAGGACACAGGACGTGCAGTCACAGGTTGTATGGGGTCTGTACGGGTTGCATAGGGCTTCTGCTAGCGTTTGGATCCGGTCCTGTTTACGTCACATGCAGCTTCGAGTCGGCAGCATGGGAAATCTGAAAGAGATCAAACCCTACCCTAAACCCTAACATTCTCCAAACCACACGGCCGAGCTTGAAGAGGGCGTTGGGCGCGCAGGGTTTCGCTCTCGGGCGTCCGGTTGGGAACATGTATATCTACAGAGATATTCGGAAGCATCCCAGCGCCAAACTGCCAACATTCAGAGAGATAAGGGAGGCAGACACAAGGTATAGGCGGCAGGAACAGAAGGCTCTAAAATCAGGAATTCGGGGGTATCGGGGTCGTTGCACGTGTCCGTTGAAACTCAACCAGTAGCATATGCTGCCTTGTATCCTAGCCCTCCGCCATCACTTAAACGGCCTGAAACCCCAGAGTACCTTGAGCCCCGGACTTCTAAGCCTGCCCCTACTTTAGGACCTACTTGTCGGGTATCATGGGGAACTAAAGGTTACGTGTGTAGGAACTATACTACCCAAAACAGGTGAAAGGTTACCTAGTCTACTACTAGGAGGATTCCCTACAGATCCCAAGTCCTCATCAAGGGCCAAGGAGGTGCCACTCGGCGCAGCCAACCCTCAGGGAGTCGAAACTGGGCATGTTCGGTCAGGGGTTTTAGAGGGTTTTCTAGGAGGTGTTTAGAAGGTTATTTAAAGGGTTTTTTGGAATTTGTAGAGGGTTTTTAGAGGGTTGAGATAGCAAAAGCCCGGCAAGTCGCCTGAGATTGGATTTGGGTTCTAGGGTATAGGGTTTAGGGGTTTAGGATTTAGGGGTTTAGGGTTTCGGGTTTAGGGCTTTAGCAGGTTATGTCTTGTCATACGATTACATCATACATTGAGTCTCTATGCCAGGACTGTGTCTGCAGCATTGCTTGGATGCGAAAGCACGGACTTCTGTGCTCTACATCATACTGCAATAAGCATACATGCGTGTTTCTGTGTCGATAATACCTCTCTATGCATGTGCATGTATACATATGGATGCACATGTGTGTGTGTGTGTATATATATATATATATACATATATATCATATATACAATATAGGCCAGGCACAACAGAGGATCTCTTAGAATGTAAAACTGAGCAAGGTGTTGGATAACATGTGTTTGCACAACACTGCTTGTGCAATATGAGAAGACCCGATTACTTTGCATCCCTACACAAACATATGAGAACCACAACCCTCTGTCGATCGATCTATCTGATGTTTCTAATTACCTGTCTACCGATCTAGCTAGCACATGTAGATACCCAACAGAAAGTATCTCATGTTCAAGAAACCGTCGAACACCCGACTGCTACACCCCCAGCCCCAATCCAAGACTTTCCAAAACACCCTGCGCAAGCCCTCGCCCCCGAAAGGAGAGCGTCTCATGTCTCGTTTAATTTATCAATTTCCTGCCGCTATAACCCAGGCATAGTATCCATGCAGCTGGCTCTGCCTATGTCGACTCACAACTTCATGATATTGATGAATAAAGAATTCGATGGGATGTATATACTATATGCATACGTCCAGACTCGTTGTAATGTACAACTGAGCTGCTGACTACAGCTCGGTATACGTGACTGTTTGGATGCTGCCGAGGCACCCTCCACAACCTCCTGCGGGTTTGATCCGTCCAGAGACACTCGGCGGATCTTCCTGACGGAAACTGCTGTCGCTGAGATACGTACCTAGACACCTAATCTGGTGCAAACATGCATCAAAACTCAAATGTCAAAGTGTGTACAAACCAGGCATCTTCTTAGAGATGTCACAAACTGAACCCACAACTCTGAACACTTACATAACCTCTTGCGGAACCCTGAACCCCTCACAGAACCCCTTAAAGGAACCCCACGCCCTAAACCCTATAAAAATGCCTACTCCCAGAGTCCTGTCTGCGAGATCCGACCAGTAGAGCTCGCCTTTGGCGGCGTCGACGGCGATGCCCGAAGGACACTGCAGTCCGGAGACAACGATCTCCTTGCGCACTGCGAAGGACTATGACAGTTTATGATAGGTTTCGACATCTTGTGACTGCGATCATTTATGTATGTATGATTCGCTACTTGATGATATCTTATGATAACTTGTTATTCAAAAGAACAATTCGTGAAAGCTTTATGATATCTGATGCAGTTCGATGATCGTTTGTGGAAACCGCTGTTGTCCCTGCCATCTCCCGTTGTGTTCGCTTTGTCGTTGCTTCTTTGTTTCCATTGACGACGTCGCTGGTGTCGCTCATATTGGTAACACTGGGTCATCTTCCTGCGGCAGCTACGACGAAGGCGATTGTGGTAACAAATGAAAAGACGGGTCCGACGATGAAGCTGAACACGACGATGAAGAAGATGAAAACAAGAAGATAGACGTGGCGAGCATAGAAACCGATGCCATTGCTGTTAGAATTCTCGTCGTAGTCATCCTGATATCAAGAGGCGTTGGTGTCTTCTTTGCTGGCATACTTGTCAGCACAGAAGGGCAAGCCGGAGAAGGATCCGGTTTCTACTTGTACCTTGCCGGACTCAGCAGGCTGCAACCTGGAATCGTCTACCCTAAGTCCCCAAAGTAGTTCCTTTTTGGGGTTCATACTTAGAATCCTAATAGGTAATCCCAAAAAGGAGGTAGATTTGCATCTGAGCGGCCATATCGGAGCCATCGAGGCGTGCCTTCGGTGCAAAGAGCAGTCGCGGCGAGAGGGGCTGTAGTGAAGAAAGCCCGCTTCTCCATGATAATGATGACTTGCGGCAGTTAGAATGTTGGAGGAGGAACATATTGAGCCTTCCGTTGCCAAAACTATGTGTACATTCATGATGGATGTGATGAAGATTCGGGCGATCACAATGTTGGTCAATAACGATGGTAATAACCGTTGTGATGAAGATTTTGCCGCGAACCATGACGACGGCACCGACCACGGAGCAAGAACCGGACAACGGTGAGGTTGTGTACGACGATTCACTGGGAGTTTGTTGCATTCATATATAATTCTTAATCGACTCCACCAACCACAAGCATCGCAATCGCCCATGCAACCGAAGACACCGTCTCTGTGTGTGGCTCAACAGGAACACGGCTGACCCCATTCCAAATCCCTTCTGCATGCCCGATTGATTCAAATGCGTGCTTCGTAATGATAGGGATCCTACAGTAACTTAAAAGTTGGGAGTTTTCGAAAAAGGGGAACGCTACTGCAAGAGTACCCTCAAGAGTAGGATCCTTCTTATAAGGACCCCAAACTAAGCTACCCCTCAATTTCGGAAACTCCGAAACTCCCAGTTAGGAGTTTCCGAAAGTGTGGCCAGGGAGCGCTGCGGATTGCCTTCTCGGCCGCATCAATCCAGTAGATGCGCCCCGCCCCCGCCTGGACAAAGGCATGAAGGGTTTAGGGCTTACGGGGTTTAGGTTTCAGAATAAGGGGCCCCAAGCAATTGAGCAACTAGGGGCTCATGATTTAGGGCTCCGAAGTACGGGTACTGCATGTTAATTACGTAATGTTAAGGTACCCACCATGCTTGCGTTAGCTCCAATATACCGTGAGCGAATAAATTGCCACAATGTCTGAAAGTGCCACTACGCGACGAGCCTCCATCGCAGCATCAGTGTGGCCGTGGCATTGCCATTCCAAGGGCTGGGACTAAACTCGTCGTGCACCGGATGCTACGTGCTAGGTAGAGGCAAAGGATGGCTGACATCCTTCCAGAGGACGCTGGCCAGTGTCATTTAAATCGGTTGTGTCCTGAAGTATATGGGTAGTTGTCAAAATTATGGCCCCTTTTTGGATACCCTCAATATGAGGTGCCGTATTATAATAAGGACCCAAAGAGGGACCAAATCTTGACAACCACCCATATACCGTAGCGAGTAGCTGATCTCCTCTCACGTTGCATGACTTCTCAGTCTCATCGCTGCAGCCAGACGGCTTGCATGTATTTCTGATCAGAATAGACTTTTTTTTTTTTGGGGGGGGGGGGGTATGTTATACTATAATTATGAAGAGGACACCCAAAATAGTATTGGTATTTATTTCGGCCCCTAGCGTACAGTGTCATCTGCCAGAAAGCTAGGGCTTAACCCAACCACGGATGCCCCAAGCAGGCATGGGGAAAGCGAAGCACTGGCTCCCCCATGTTCAAGTTAAGCCCGAAAAACTCTAGGCAAACACGAAATCCTTTGAACACGTCCTGCGCCCTAAACTTAGACTCCACACGCTTGCACTAGAAAGGCCTGAAGCCGTCAAACACGAAAGCTCCTGAAAGCCAACATGACCTTGAACTCCTTGTCCCTAAACCCTAAACCCCCGAGTGCTTCACAGCTCCAGCAGCTCGTTGGAGGGCTCTTTCTGCGGAGAGTCCCAATCCTGTGACAGAACTGAGGGTTTAGGGTTTAGGCTTAGGGTTTGGGGCTTTCGACAAAAAGGAGAGCTGGGTTAAGGGATTTGGGGCCTGTAGTCTGGGGTTAGGGCTGGGCTCTATAAGCAATAGCTGCTGCAGATACATGGCCTGTGGGACCTTTGTGGCTTGCAGGGGGGGCGGGGTGCGGCCTGTGAATGGCCTTGGTGTTTGAGGGTTTCAGGAACGGGTTGAGGTTTTCAGGACGAAAAGCTTTAGAGCTTCGGTTTTGTTTCGGGTTTGGGACTTAGGGATGTTAGATTCATCGTGAATGCTTGCTTCGTGCTAGTATGTGAATTAGCATCTCCACTCCGAAGTCGTGTTCACATTTCTACGGGCTATGTTCGATTCTCAACTCTGCATCAAACTGTTATTTACGTTTTGCTGCTCTTGATCGTGTGACTGTTTTCCTTAGGATTGCTACCACCATGATTTTTGCACAAGGCAACATGTTCCGTCGTTTCACCGCCACTGCGGAAAACACTGCACAGACCCTAGTATCCGAGACAAGGCTTCTGCGATAGCCGAAAAAGAACCTGAAACACCTGTATGAACACAACTTGCACCAACTGGAGGCGCCAGATCTACCATGAAGCATCATAGCCAAAACACGCATCGTAGTAGCAATGAGAGTGGAATGTCGAAATGCGAGCGAGTCCGATCAACCAAAACTCCAAAAAACTTCTTCCGCCTGTTGATCTCGCCACCACTTCAGCAGGCGGATTGTCATCTGCAGGCATTGAATGTGTCTCTGGATGGTGAAATGACATGCAGAAATAAGCGGAGTATGCGAAGCAACGAGAGAAGCTAGTGAAGTGCAAAGAGCAGGTCACGGGTGTGACTAATGTTAGAGTGGTGCTTATAAATCGGGTGACAGATTCTCCGCGTGCAAAATCGTTTTAATTGCGTAGCCAGAATTGCCATTGTTGTTAGAACTGGGGTCGGAGCAATAAGAGGGGTGACAATAAAAACATTCCGGGTCCGAAATCTCCCCAAAAAATAGGAGCCAGGTTAAGTAACTAGCAGCAACAGCTCAAACTAAGAGGACCCTAAACCCAGCCAGCAGAGTGCAGTATTGCTACTACTACTACTACTACTACCACTACTGTATACTACTATGTATACTACGTATAATTACTACTATGACTACTGGTACTTTTCTGCAACACTCGCTTTCTCCAAATACTGACGGTACACTTTGATTTCAGGGCTCTTGTTAAGGAATTCAGTTTACCATTATAGGGATCTGTAGTAGAAAATATGGTTTCCTGATTATGGTAGCTTACACTAAACCCTACAGGAACTCAGTTCAGCGTGCAACGTTTCTCCAAGAATTCCCTCCCCCCAGAAGATCACCTAGGCTACGAGAAGCGCTGATCGTTTCGAGCACAAACGGTAATACAGGGGCCTAAGCAATTAGAAAGAGGCTCTGGGGCCCATATGGGTGGTTGTCAAAATTAGGGTCCCTTGCTGGGTCCTTATTATAGTACGGCACCTAATATTTAGGGTTCCCAAAAAGGGAGCCTAATTCTGACAACCACCCATATGAATATATTTATCATCAGGCCCCTATATATGGTACACGTTTTGACCGCAGCCGTTTGCTGAGACTACTGGGCCTGGTGAAGAGCAGGGGCTGTAAGTTCCAGGGGGTGTGGAGTTCCAGGCTTCGGGGTTTAGCGTCTTCGGGTTTAGGGATTAGGGTCTGCAGGGTCTTAATGTTAAGGGGTTATAGAGCTTTGGGATCGCGAAATCTTGCCTAGGTGGGGCCTTTAAAGCCTTTGAAAGAAATTGGTAAATAAGATCCTCTTAAGCCCAAAAGGGGGAAAATTTTAACTGTCCCAAAGCCTTACCTAGTTGCAGGAACCATCAGCCCAAGCTGCAGCTTTCGCTGCCTTGACACTCCCCGGCTGCCGGGCCACGAACTGCACTCGCTGCTCGACCTGAGGATTTACCTTAACCCTGAAGAACTTACCTTCTTAGGGCTCCCTATTATGATTTCCTTGTAAATGCCCTTAAAAAGGTCGGTCCTTCAGGGTTAAGGTAGGGCTTGGGGCTGTTTCAAGTGGGGGATTTTGGGAGGCTGGTCATTGAGAAGACTGAGACGCGCGCCAGCAGCGTGTGGAAAAAACTGTGGAAGCCTGGATGTTCCTTCGCCATTGCCTGGAGAAGACGTCTCCACGGAGGTGGTGAAGGAGATGGTGGTGCTGGTGCCAGTAGCCAGAGCTGGTGATGGTTGGCTATGACCCCAGATAGCTGCGATGATGACGATGGCGATGACGACGATAGATAGATAGATAGACAGATAGATACGTAGATTAAGAGTTAGATGTTGGGAACCCACGTGATGTTCATGAAGGCGACCACGATGGTGATACTGATAAAAATGATGATGGTGATGGTGGTGGTGATGTGATGATGATGATGATGGCTATGATGGCAGTCGATGTGGTCAACTTGATACCACGGCAAAGAAATGATGACGTCAAGATGACGACAAGAACCCTCTGCTGACATGATGGTAAGGCATACAAAGTAATAAAGCGCGTGACGATCATTCTAAATAACTTTAGTGATGATGATGACGATGATGACGGCGATGATGACACAACGACAAGCTGGATGCGGATAATAAACCTTCCCAATATACTTATTTGGAACGGCTACCGCAATCACTACTGTATCATCTTCGGAGCTGGCCTTCACCTTGGTGTAGCCTTCGTCCAGGGCCGGCGCAAACCGCAGGTCCAAGTATAGCACACCAGGTACAACTAGACGCACACAGTCCTCGACGGAGCACCCTGCTTCGGTGAGGCATATATAGATATTCTAATCTTAAATCCTAAAGCGGGACAAAGAGCGAGAGAGAGCGGGATTATCATAGAGACAGGCACCAAGAGAAAATGAGAGAGAGAGAGAGAGACAGACAGAGAGGGACAGACCGGGAGGGAAGCAAAGATAAAGAGAGGCGAGAGGCAGTGACTGACAGATACAGATGTACTTTTGATTGCGATCATATACGTCATGTTTAGGGAACACATAAGGAGCAGTACCCACTCCGAAAACAAGGCTGCCGGAAGAACGTGGACTGCACTTGCAATGTAGCCGATTATCTTGAACGTCGGGTCCGCTTGCTGCCATGAAAACCACCAGGGTTTACGAGTTGGGGGGTTTGGGGGGTTTAGGCTTTGATGGCCTAGAATTCCAGGATCTTGGGCATATTGTGAATGGTATGCTTCCATCGAGCATTGCGGTTACGGCTACGTAGCTACTTGCTGGTCTCTACGAAGATCCCAACACATGAACTTTCAACCCCAAATCCCAATCCTTAAACCCTGAACACGAAAAGCTGCACCCCAAACCCATTGATTGATGTAGCGAAAGCGAGGCAGGTGCTCACCCTTGAAACCCAGGTTAAGTTAACTATCCCATGATTGGACAAACCTTCGGGTTTAGGGTAAAGCGTGCGGCTTCCGTCCAAAAACCAACCCCGGATGCGAGTCAAAACACAAACCATTCGTACTCTGAGGCCCTAACCCCTTTTATATCCCTAGATTTAAATTTAAGCCCCTATAAACCTTAACACTTCTAAACCAAAACCTCAACTTACACCGTCCTCCAGGACAGTGGCCTCCTCGAAATGATTTTTCAGAATGGCCGCCTCGGCGCCCGTACGGCAGTCTTGGTCGGACAAGTCCTGTAAATCCCTGAACCTTAAACCCATCCTAAACCCTAAACGAGGTGTAGGCGTAGGATATAGGAATCTGATTAAGCACCTTTCCCGCAGATGTGAAGGGGAAGCGGTGGGGGAAGCGGGGGGCAAGGGAATGCTTCACATATCTCATGGACCACGTTGTTTACAGGAACACCTTGTTCATAGGAAGGCGTCAGGGTCCATCTAGGTCCGCCGGTGTCCGCGGACCGAATCATAATATGACAACGGAGAAAGGCAGCTGGCCCACGTGGCCATAAACAGCCATCCTGGTTTTGTGGATGCCAATAGCACATTCAAGCAGCCCCATGCGTTTAACTGTTCTGAACATATTATGTTCTTCCGGTCTTCCTGGAAGTATTTCAAGCATATTGCAGCATTTTTTGCTGGAAAACAAAACTTACAAACACCCGAATTCCTTAGGTTCCCGTTGACATAACTAGCTACTTCCGAATAAGTTCTGAGAGCTGCTTAGATGATGGCGTAAAT